CGCATCCCGCCGCCCCGACCCCGGCGACCGTGGCCGCGCAGTAAGTTGGCAGGAGCGAGTCCCCTCCGTTCTCGCCTCCCCCGCACCTTTTGAACTTGTTGCTGCTGCTCGGCTCGCCTGCGCCTGGCTTTTGGAAGGTGAAAAGGAGGAGGGAGGCTAGGAGGATGGGGGAAGGGGAAGAAGAGCTCGCTTGAGCTTTATTTATGCTCCCTCGGCGCATCGGATTCGGCTGCTGGCGAGCTGCTCTCTCCTTTTCCCTTTCCGGGTGCACGGCGAGGAGAAAGTCTCTATGCAACTCAGCCCCGGCGCGCACTTTGCCAGGTATGTACCGCGGGCGAGGCGCGTTCTGCGAAGAGGCAGATGCTGCTTCCGCCACGCCCGGCGGCGGCGGCTGCCAGCTCCTGGGATCTGTAACCGTCACACTGCACCTGAGCTGAACTTGAAAAGAGAGTGAAGGGGCGATTGGGCGAACGCTTTTGGCAGACACACAGGGTGTTTGTAGACGTGGGAGAGGAGGATCTCTCTTAACGCCCCCCATCGTGCCCACCGCACATCACCTCCATCTCTGCAAAGCCGACCGGAGGAGTAGAGGCGGCAACGGGACTCCCCAAGACAGACGTGGGGCAGCGGCAGTGACCGCTTCTCTGAAGTTCCAACAACAGGTCCTCTTTTTTTGGAGACTCCTTTGGCGGGAAGGGCTAAAAGGAAGGTTTGAGAGAGCGACAAGGGAAGGTGGAAAGGGCCCCTAATTTGTCAAAAGAATACCACTGGGTGACTCTTCTTTATCCTGCACTTCACGTACTGACCCCATATTTTCCAGACTGTCAGGGAGGAATCAGAGACACCTGTTTGAAGACATCACTGCTTCTAAAGTCACCTGTGTGCTTCTTTGCGCCAGGGGCTGGCCCTGTCCAGCTGCTGGAAAAGGTTTGATTAGGTTCTGCTGGGAGTGATTGTTAGGGCTTTGGGTTGCTTGGTTCTTATGATTCCAAATACCCGTCTTTGAGGGAAACTTGCCCTTCTGAGAACTGTGACTTCACCAGGGGCCCTTCCTTGGAATAAGAGTGATACTTCTGGGCCACCACCTCAGGACTATCCTGTTTGACCGGAGGAAGTGGGTGATTGTGACTACTTTGGTTGAGCCTCTGTAGGGCCCCGATTGCTCTCCTTGTCTCCACTTCAAGGGACCATGGCGGCGGGTGTAGCAGCGTGGCTGCCCTTTGCAAGGGCCGCAGCCATTGGGTGGATGCCTGTGGCCTCGGGGCCCATGCCAGCTCCCCCAAGGCAGGAGAGGAAAAGGACTCAAGATGCTCTCATTGTGCTCAATGTGAGTGGCACCCGTTTCCAGACGTGGCAGGACACCCTGGAGCGTTACCCAGACACTCTGCTGGGCAGTTCTGAGAGGGACTTTTTCTACCACCCAGAGACTCAACAGTATTTCTTTGACCGTGACCCAGACATCTTCCGCCACATCCTGAATTTCTACCGCACTGGGAAGCTCCACTATCCTCGCCATGAGTGCATCTCTGCTTATGATGAAGAATTGGCCTTCTTTGGCCTCATCCCAGAAATCATTGGCGATTGCTGTTATGAGGAGTACAAAGATCGCAGGCGAGAGAACGCGGAGCGTCTGCAGGACGATGCCGACACCGACAACACCGGGGAGAGCGCACTGCCCACCATGACTGCTCGGCAGAGGGTCTGGCGGGCATTCGAGAACCCCCACACCAGCACGATGGCCCTGGTGTTCTACTATGTGACAGGGTTCTTCATCGCCGTCTCAGTCATCGCGAATGTGGTCGAAACAGTGCCCTGTGGCTCTAGCCCAGGCCACATTAAAGAGTTGCCCTGCGGAGAGCGCTACGCAGTGGCCTTCTTCTGCTTGGATACAGCCTGTGTCATGATCTTCACGGTTGAGTACTTGCTTCGCCTGGCGGCGGCGCCCAGTCGTTACCGTTTTGTGCGCAGTGTCATGAGTATCATCGACGTGGTGGCCATCCTGCCCTATTACATTGGGCTGGTGATGACAGACAATGAGGATGTCAGTGGAGCCTTTGTCACACTCCGCGTCTTCAGGGTCTTTCGGATCTTTAAGTTTTCCCGCCACTCTCAAGGCCTACGCATTTTGGGGTACACTCTGAAGAGTTGTGCCTCAGAATTGGGCTTCTTGCTTTTCTCACTCACCATGGCTATCATCATATTCGCTACAGTTATGTTCTACGCAGAGAAAGGGTCTTCGGCCAGCAAGTTCACTAGCATCCCCGCGGCCTTCTGGTATACCATCGTCACCATGACAACACTAGGGTAGGTGCCATGGAGGGAAATGGGATGGAGGTTGGATATGGGTGAAGTGATTTTGGATCATTCAGAAATGTTAGTCATCGCGAATGTGGTCGAAACAGTGCCCTGTGGCTCTAGCCCAGGCCACATTAAAGAGTTGCCCTGCGGAGAGCGCTACGCAGTGGCCTTCTTCTGCTTGGATACAGCCTGTGTCATGATCTTCACGGTTGAGTACTTGCTTCGCCTGGCGGCGGCGCCCAGTCGTTACCGTTTTGTGCGCAGTGTCATGAGTATCATCGACGTGGTGGCCATCCTGCCCTATTACATTGGGCTGGTGATGACAGACAATGAGGATGTCAGTGGAGCCTTTGTCACACTCCGCGTCTTCAGGGTCTTTCGGATCTTTAAGTTTTCCCGCCACTCTCAAGGCCTACGCATTTTGGGGTACACTCTGAAGAGTTGTGCCTCAGAATTGGGCTTCTTGCTTTTCTCACTCACCATGGCTATCATCATATTCGCTACAGTTATGTTCTACGCAGAGAAAGGGTCTTCGGCCAGCAAGTTCACTAGCATCCCCGCGGCCTTCTGGTATACCATCGTCACCATGACAACACTAGGGTAGGTGCCATGGAGGGAAATGGGATGGAGGTTGGATATGGGTGAAGTGATTTTGGATCATTCAGAAATGTTTTTTTTTTTTTTTTCCCCCTCTTTCCTAAATGGGTTAAGAAAACATTATCTAATTGGTTTGGAAAAGCTCTTTTGATCTTTGAAATGGGTATGATAGAGACATTGAAGTAGTAGGATGTTGCTGGTAAATGTTGAGTATTGATGCCCAAACGTGATGAATACACAAAGGAACTTTAGAATTTATGAATATAGGAAAATATTAACTATATATTTGAATATATACAAATAAAAGAACAATAAGAAAAAGTTATGCCCTAATAAAGATATGAAATGTGCAAGATATATTGAAATGTCTAGAAAATGCATTACATTCCAAGGGAAAAAAAGTTTCTATGTGTATTTGAAGTATTATTTTCACAAGAATGAATACTGATGGTGTGCATAATTCTTATTTGACAGCAATACAGAATATAGATTGCAGATATCCTTATCAAAGGATTTTATAATGCATATGCACATATTCATTTATGTGCATTTTTTCATTATGGCTGGTAGTTTATGGAACATTGCAGAATATCAGGGCTGAAACTGATCAACTCTATAAAATGCAGTGGAATGATATTTACAATGTATTTAAAACTCCAGGCTCATAGTTTCAAAAGAAGCAAATGACTGTCATCTCACATTTCTTTAAGAAGCTATAGATACCATTGAAACTCTAGTCTCATAGTTTCAAAAGAAGAAACAAATGACTGTCATCCACACATTTTTTGTAAAGAAGCTACATATTCCATCAAGCAATAGGCACACACCGATTAAATACACACAGAAGATAGGTCAGTATCTGATGAGAATGATAGTCACAAGGGGCTGGTGGCATTATAAAAGTTGAGCCCTAAATTTCTTTTAGAATTCTTTTGTGCATTCTTTTATTTGAGGTGATAAAGTTTTGCAACAAAGGGGACATATTCTGAATTTATGTATTTTGTAAAACAGATATGTTGGACTAGAACTAAGTTTTTTATGTAGTAGAAAAAAGGAAAAATGTCATATGATTAATAATGTTAATCAAACTACAGAAAAGTAGCAAGATTTTATATATTAGAGAATCTAATAAAATAAAATGGTTAGAGCCTTTTAGTTTTATGACTTCTTAGATAAGCCAGGAGTAATGTTAGTGCCTTTTCTTCAGCTTTATGCTACTTTTCTTGCATAGGTAATCAGCTCAATGAGGATTTGGTAATGGCTGCAAGAAAAAAAGTTACTCCCAAGACTGCTTTTTAAGTTTTGTGTTTCTGGCTAATTTAGTTGACTTTATAAAATGCCATTGTGGTTAAAACCAGTTCAATTTTATTACCCATACTGTGTTGAGCAGAATTTCTTATTTTGTCATATGGCTAACTAATGGAACATTTTATGTGTGAAGAATGCTAGGCTAATTAAGAAATTATGGTAAAGTAAAATACAATCAATTATGACTTTGGTATAGTTTCATTTTTTGAAGATCTACTTGTGCATTAAAAGATGAATGAATGAAAATTCATATCCTATAGCTTGTATTTCTCTTGTATCCTGTTGGTAATTTTGTGACAAACTAAGAAGAGGATACAGAGTACCTTAGCAGTCTAGGTGTTTATTCCTCACCAGAAGGTTGTGTTTGTTTTTGGTCCTATCTTTTTATTACTTGAAATCATTATTAAAGACTATAAGATAATGCAGTCACTCATGATTTCAAATTAGAGGTACACATTATGAAAAAGAAGACACCGTGTTTAAAGGAAATATACTTTTGGAAATTTGGCTTATGTGGCAGTGCTTTTCATGAGGTATATGTGTGTCATTTTAGGCTATATCCAGTCTATCTGATTAAATATAGGTATTATTATAATGAATAGTGATGAGATGCAAGTTTAAGCTAGCTAAAAGTTCTAGTCTAGATTTGAGAAGTTAGCATTATTTTAAAACTTGTTTCCTGAAATGAGTTTCCATTTTTTCATTTTAGTTTGAAAGTTATTTTTATTTTCTGGAAATTATGAAGAACTGTTAACCACTAGGACTAATTTTTATTTAATAAATAAGATGCTTATAATCATCTGCTTTTTGATATGATTAAAGGAATTTAATCATGTTTGAGTAAAAACTATGCAATGCATTTAGTTCATATATTCCATAGGTAAGTGGATTAGAAGCATTAAATATACACACTTTCTCAGAATTTGGGAGCAAAATGGAAGTAAGTGGAGTTACTTTTAAGACTTTGGTTTCACTGAAGTTGAAAATTTTGATTTTCATGAAATTAATTAATGATATTGATGGAATATAGTAGTCACACTTTAAAGATGTAGAGATGTAGATTCAATCAGGATAGGACTGTATATGGATGTTTAACAGAGCATGTGCTTTATAGTATGGTAAAGTTTCTTAGAAAATGCCCTCAGTTTCTTAACAAAACATGTTTGGAATGAATTTCAATTCTCTGGATAAACAGATGCTTTAGCACCCTGTTTTTTGGGGTGTGTGTGTCTCATGTTTGGTTGCATTGTAACTTAGCAGCATTTGCATTCAAGAATAGAAAACATGCAATAAAAGCCATTTTCTGACTTTATCTTTTACACTGCAGTTTTACACTTAGAAGATGAAGTATAAGGTATAAGCTTTCTGGAAAATATGTAATGCTTGGAGCTGATCTCAGGTTGTGTCTGATAGATGATCAAGAATTTTTCATGATAATTTCTGAGCTATTTTTATGAGGCTATTATTTTTAATGAAGCTAATGTTCATCCATTAATGATAACAGGAGTGAAAATGTGATCCTAAACAGTGGTTATCAGAAGTTCCCGCTTTTAGATACATTATCTACATGAGAAAACAATAGCCAAGAACTTTATTATTTGGGATTGACAAAAATATCTGGTACTTCTAAGGTCATTTTAGACAGTACTCTGTTGTTTTATCTAAAGAACTGAGTGAGTCTATCTTAGAAGCACAGTGTATTCATCTAAGTATTTTCTTACTTTCCTGAAATACCAAATATAGCAGTAGACTATAACTTGACCATACTTAAGTGATTCTTTAACTTGTTAGAAGACTGAATGGTTTACAATACAGTTTTAGGGCCATTCAATTTCCTATTAATTAAAGCAGGAAACATCAAAAGAACAATTTTTAAAATCAATGAAATGAAGAATGTCTGAAAAGCCTTAAAAAAAACAGCATTATTAAGTGGTTATATATATGTGTGTGTGTGTGTGTGTGTGTGTGTGTGTGTGTGTGTGTGTGTTCTTCTTTTTTTTTCTTTTTTTTTTTCTGGGCATATTTATTGACCTTGATTATCTTTTCACATTTCCATTCCCACACCTCTTTCCATAATGAAACTCTAAATACTGCCTTAAGCTGTTTTGGTGGAAGAATAATGTGGAATGCTTCTTTGATCCTTAAGGCTTTTGGAAGGTAATGTGGAAGGTAATGTCCAGTTACTATTTTTCATTCAAATGGTAGTACCTAAATATTCTAAATTTCAGAAATTTCCAAATGTTCATCAGTAATCAAAAACTATTGTGTAAAAATATGCTCAACAGGTTGAAACTTCCACTTGTCATTGGACCTTAGGCTCACAACTTGAAAGCTAAAAGTGGCACTAGGTAGCACATCAAATAATGAGAGGAGTTATCTTGTTAAGCAATATCTACATTTTTGGACATGAATACTGACCATTTCGATACTTTTTTTTAGAGGAGAATGGATTACTTGTAACATAAAAGAGCTTCAGAAGTGTCATTTCTCTGGTTCATACCACTTCTTTAATTTTAAAGTGTTTTTCTTTCTTTTTTTTTTTGTTTTTCCTTTAAGAGATGTCCCTGGCATAGCCTTGGCATCCTGCAATCTCCCCTCTAGTGTTCCAACCAGCCAGAATGGCAGGCATGCCCAAGGGTATTCATGAAGCGCTCAGATCGACCCAGAATTTTAACCTGGGGCCTCCAATATGGCTCTGGTATCTCACAGCAGTTCCCTACGGCAACGCGACTGGGCCAATTTCCTCCATTTTAAAGTAGAGTTGTTTTCATCAAGGTTTCCAATATGGGAAGAAAGCTGTTATGTGGTATTTGTGTAAAGTTCACATTTAGAATGAAATTTCCTGATTTTAGCTACATAAATCATATTTCGATTTCTGGACGAGTTGGGGAAGACAAAAAATGCATTACATTATATGCTTATCTGAAATAAGTATAACAGAATTACATCTTTGCCCCCAGAAAACCTAGAGTAGTTATCTATTCATAATATCCTCAAAACTCAGCTTTATCATATTTTAACTTTAATGGATTTAATGGGCTGTTATTTTAAGAAACAAAAAAAGGAAAATAATTTTTTCATTGCAATTTTCCTAACAATGCGTTAGGGGGACCAGCAGTTAGCGTAATGGCTATGTCGCTGAACTTCCATGTAGTCAACCACGGTTCAAGTCAAGGCTTAAACTCACACCAGACACATGTGCATGGATGCCTAAGATCCTGAGAGGAGAATGGAGGAGAAGGGATTGTGGTGTGGCCATCTTCCCCCCGGGGCAGGGGGATTTCTCACTTTCTGTCTCTCTGTCTCTCTCTGTCTCTCTGGTGAGCGCATGCACCCTGTAACAAAAAAACCTCCCCCCCCAAAAAAACCAATGCATTAGAGAAGTTTTCTTTTTTAGAATGACATGATTTGAAAGGAATTTATTATATACATATATCTGATTAGATCTATGATACATTATAATACTATGTTGTCAATATAAAAATGATAAACTTTTAAATAGCATCTTCCTGTTACCTGTCATTATTCTGATGACAAAACTATGGGATTGTTAGGAGTATATATCTTGCAGAATCATTTAATGGTGACTTTCAGTTTACTCAACTATTAGTCAAAAATGGGTAGAATTACTGGGTTGTCAGGAAAATCATGAAAATTTATGAAATCATAGAAAATTTATGAAAAATGTGTTACTA